ATATATATATGTATATATATATATATATATATATTATATATATGTTAGTATATACATATATATATATATATATAGGTGTCAGTTCTGAAAGAAGCGCTTCTTTGCCGAGGCCGAGCGTTGCCCGTGGCTCTCCAGGCCTTGATACAAGCTGTGTCGAGTCCAAAGTGTCAAAGTGCTGCGAGTACTTCCATGGCCATAGCCATAGTCTAGTCAGTCTGGTGATTCTAGGGATGGAGGACGTTTGGTCCCATGAGAGGTGTTGGAGATTTCGGCTTTCAGCTTTCAGAGAGCCTTGTTACCAACGAAGTCGCTGTATTCCAGCATGACGCTTCTCCGTTTTGTGAGCCTCGTGCTGGTGTCCTCAGCATTGAAGTTCACCGTGGACTCCGACTCAACGCCTACATGCAAGGGCACTTTGACGCAAACAGACGTTGACTGCGAGAGTCAGACAAAGGAGGAGTGTGACAACCACTATACCGCATCGGCACCGAACGGGAAGACATATGTCCAGTGTGGATGGACCGGCGCCCAGTGCCTGAGCTCCGGTCCCCAGTGCAAGGAGAAGACCGACCCGTGGAAGTCCCTGCCAACCTTGGACGCAGCGGTCGAGGCAAAGGTGTCCTGGGTGGACACTCCCGGTTTGAAGCTTAAGAGCGTTGCGAACACGCAGGGCCTGGCTGCCTTGGGTGAGAGCAAAGCCATGGCATGCGGCATGAACGGCCACCACCCCTCTTGGTCCAACTGGATGTGCCTCGTGCTTCAGGTCAACGCGGACAACAGCATCACGCGTGGGGAGGTCTTCGACACCGGCCTGCCCAAGAGTCTTGGCAGCCCCTATTTGGAGGGGATTTCCGAGGACCGTGCCCTCTACTGTGGAAAACTAGGCAGTTTCATCAAGTGCCAGCTCTTGGCCGCCGAAGGTCTCAAGCTAAAGAAGGTTGGGGACACGTTTCAGGTGCCGCACCCAGACGTGCGGATCACTCTCGAAGTGACGGTGCAGAAGCTGCAGGACGGAAAGGCCTTGGTCTGTCAGAATGAGGATCACGGTTGGGCGAAGGACCACCACATATCCTGCACTGTCCTCACCGACAAGGGTGACAGCCTGGTTGCAGGGCCACTCCACACGCTGGTGAGGGGCATGCCGAATGCTTACGGAAAAGCTGCCATGGCCCGTCGTGACTCGTCCAGTCTCGTCATGTGTCACAACATGAACCAAAAAGACAAGAACGTGACTTGCGGCATGGTCTCAGTCAAGGGCGATGAGGTGGGTTGGGCTGGCGCCACAGTCGACATGGACCAGGGTGACGGCGGGGGCGGCATGGCGACCGTGGAAGTCCTGACTCCAGAAACTTGGAGAAACAAAAGCAGTATGCAACTGTGAGCATTGTGTGGAGCTGGTATGTTCGTCATGAAAATGAGAGGCGCCTCAATAGTTGAGAACGTGAGTCAGCAAGGTTTGTTCAGGGTTCGATCTCATCCCAGGACCTTGCCATTTACTGCTGGACGCGCGGAAACAACAAGCCGTGCTTCCACCTTGCCATTACAGCCACCTCGATCTCCAAAGTCACTGGAGGGGAGTTCACGATGCCAAGGAAGAGTGGCCATAACTACTGGCAGGACGGACGTATGGCCAGGATGTGGAGCGACCGCTTCTTGTACTGCTTCCAGAATGGAAGATGGGATTTCTGGGAGTGGGGCAACCCGTTATGCATGGTCGTCAAGACCGATGGCAAGACGGCCAGTCTCCCGGAGCCAACCCATCCCAACGGAGGCAATGACAAGCAACCCAAGGCGACTGTGCCAGCAGTGGTCACCCTGGCTCCAGGCCGAGCCATGATGTGCGCTGAAGATAAGGATTGCCACAATCCTCCCATGGGTGGATGCGCGGTATTCTATTTGCCCAATTGAAAAGCCGCCATTGGGCGTTCAAGCTCAAGATGCATAAAGCACCGGAAGAGCCTGCGCTGACCATGGTGTCGCAAATTCAGCCGACAAAAAGGAGCCGTTGCCTTGCTCGAGTCAAGCTGGTCGCTTGCAAAGGGGCCTCGTACAAACTCTGGAATTCTCGCATCAAGCACCCAGGAACTGCCCCAAACTTCAAAAAGTCCAGTCCCAGCTACTCATACCAGCAAGTGATGGCACGTATTCTGAGACAGGTTGGCCTCCTGCGTGCGCTTGTGACCCGGTTGGCTTGGGCTGAGCGGCCCTATCTTCGCCAGGAAAGGCCTTGTTTTCAAAGCTCGGGCCACCGATTGGTTTAAAAGCACCACGGGATGTAATACCCTTTTCGTACTTTCTGCAAACTGAAAAGCCCAAGACAAACAGGAGCTGGTGGTGGTGTGCGCTCGACTGATCCACCCAGGAGGCCACACTGTTCTTTCTTGTCCTGGCGAGCTTCTAGTTCCAAGGTGTCCCCTTCACATGACCCAAGCTCCCAGTGCCTGTCTTTTGCCAAAGGCATGGTGTTGATATGTTCCTTTGGAGGAGAAGCAATCCAACACTGAAGTGACTGCAGGATTTGAACGGCGCCGTCTCAGCCCTCGCAGGCATTGAGGTGCAATCCTTAGTTTGATTTGCATGGCCCGGAGTGCAAGCTGTACACTGCCCTTGAGGTGTGCCTGCATGACGTACCAGTGTTTCTGCCCATAGTCAGTCGGGAGACTGTCACGGCCCTATCTCACACTGTGCTTGCAACACACCTGCATCTATGCACATGTTCGTTAAATCCATTTGGGTTTAGCGGCTACGGATTCCCTCATTATAGCCGCATAGTGGCCGCGTTGTGATCATGCCCATGACACGGTAGTTGCTGAGGTCCAGGCCTCGCCTCCCAGAAGCGGCTTAGACACTGACGAAATGGACACAAAACTACACTTGCCAGCCACGCTATCCGACCAGCGTAGAACAAGAGGCATCGGTATCCTTCCTGATGGTTGCGTGCGGTCTTTGATTGTACTGTGCTATAACGTTGGGAAGTAGGAGGTGCCACTGATTTCTTCTCCCCACCCCCGCAGTAAGCCTCCTCACCAGAGCTTCTTTTAACGTTCTGATAGCTCGCTCTGCCATGGTAACGATCTTATCCACGTCAAAGTAATCTAGACGTTGATTGAACTCTTTCTTGAACTCCGAGCCATCGTCGCTGTAAACATTCAGCGGAATGCCCAGGTCTTTGACCACTTTGTCCCACGCTCTCGCCGCTGTGGAGGCTTCCTTGTTTGCCATGGGAACAGCTGTCAACTTTTTGCTGAAAGCGTCGATAGCCACCAGCATGTACTTGTACGGCCCTTGCGCGAATTGGTTCGTGGGTGCCAGTTGGGGGGACTTTGCGATAGCTCCATCCAGATTGGGTGACTGAAGCTTGTTGCCTTTGCTCTTTGCTCTTTAGTGCGGTTGGCAGCCGGGCGATTTTGCAGCTCCGTGAAAGGCATCGAT